CCGAGATAACCAGCGATTGAGTACGTAAATTGACATGAGCATTTTTATCAGGGCATAGAAGAGATACGTCATTATTTGAAACCACCGTGTCAAATCTAAGACAGCGAAAAGTGCAATAACTTTCCGTACAACCTAGGGGAATTCTTTGGAAGGCACTTTATCAGAAATGACGAACTTGAATGATATAGTGCGAAGTCAGGGATGAGCACTGATCCCCCAAAGACCAGCTCTTGGGCACCATCAGCGGGACCATCTCGCAGCCCGCAATCGGTTATAAAATACTGCCCTGTGGCTGGAAATATTTTTTACCATGGACTTTCTCGGTGGAATGAGTCAACTCCTCGTAGGATGATTTTCCACGGGGCGTCCACGTCGCGGTGCCCCCAAGAAGTAATCCTAACGGATGGCCACCCGCGCAGTTTGCATATGAAAAGCCGCCCGGCTGTGAATCAATATACCTTTATGTGGGTACTTGGCTTATCTTCTCGCACCCTTCGACGCCCTTACGACTCCAGGGCACGGAAGTCGACAATATTTTCGACTTCCTGGCAAAAACCGGGGTCGAGCCCAGCAAGGAGTCCAACGGGAAGCGACGATGGTCCCGGAAAGGGCGATGGTCACGCCTCGAAATTCGACCAAACTCGTTTTCGAGCTGACTCGCAGCTTCGAGACGAGAAGTCGGTCTAAGGACTATTTGTGGTTTCTTACTTGGTCGGCAGAAACTGTCTTTACTGACTCATGACAGACCTATGGTCCTCCCGAATCAGTGAGTCATCTCCCCCTGGAAGGTGATGGGCTCTTTCGAAACGGTTTCCGAAACGGCCCGAGGAAGTTCCTACGCCTCTTTTTCGAACCACTCGTGGGAATCCCGAAAGATGACGGCCCACTTTTCGGCTTTTGCGGGGGAATGAGAAGAAACCGAGTTAATTGGGGAGAGCACTTTTAACCGCGAATTCTTGAGAATGTGGCCAACTTTCTGGGAGCTTTCGGTAGATTCGGTTCTTTTCTGTTTCGGGGAGAGACGATGAAGCTCGTGGGCGAAGCAGAGGTAAAAGTACAAAATTATACAAAAATGAAATTAGGGAATGTCTTGCTTTCTGTAAGCGTCACGAAGTACGCGTAAGGTCCAAATTGTCATAGTAATGGATATTAGAAAAAAACATTTCTGCACACTGTTTACGTTACATAAATGTTCAAACTGTGTCGAAATTAAAGCTTCCTTTAATCGTGACCTTACGTAAAACTGAAACGAAATCTCTATCGACTAAACATCTAATTTCAATTAATATTAAATAGGCTCAAGTACGTTTCAAGAAGAGAAACATACCGATCAAAGATGTACTCAAAATTGACTGTACTCCCTGATGCCATAAAAGCCGGAAAACTTGAAATAGTCGAATAAACACCCTGTTTACAGCTTAACGTACCTAAAAGCGAGCTTCCTTTTATATTTGAATCGACCTCCAGAAACCAAATCTTAATTAGAAATATCTTAACATAATTTTTCCTCGGATGAGGGCCAAATTTCTGCTTTTACCATGTTACTCTTTTATTTCCCCGTCCAGAGGGTGCAATGAAATTGATAACTAGCCGAAAGCACCCCTTTTCGCAGATTAATTCCGCCAGGGGTGGGACTCGGGGGAAAAAGCGCGTCTTCTTCTTTAAGTCCCGCGAGATCGAAGCTTTCCTTTCGCCGCGGTGACGATAAATCCTCCTCGAAACATCCCGACGAAATTCCCGTAGAGTTGCGTCTTAGTGATGCCTCGGCTTTAAGGCCATCTCAGACAACAAAGATTTTTTATCCGCCTACAGTCAGCCTCCGACTGCCATTTAATTAGGATCGCTTTATTTCGTTACAGCCCTTTGTCTCCTATGGACTCTTTTCTCCCTCCACCTTTCGGCTCTCCTCTTCTCCCTCTCGTTCGCGACCATAAAATGTCCTGCGATATGCGACGTATGCGTGTAATCAGCATGACCAGATTTTTCCATCACTCGTGATAAACTCACTTTGTTAATCATTTCCATCATTTCAAATCTTTCGATGTTTCCACTTACGGAATTAAATATTTTCCGAAATTCTTCCCCAAAAAACCCCCGAATAAAGTGTCTCTGTTTTCATTACGGTATTAATTCTAATTGAATATTTTGTCAGAATTCCTTCGAGGGTCTGAGAAAAGTGGACATTGCCCAGATAGACAAAGTGATGCTAAATTTGCATCAAATTTTTCCTCATAAGAGATCATTAAGTAAGTCACGAGGGTGTCGCTTATGAGTTTTGGAACTCATATCTGCAGTCCACAATGACGAACGAAAAGTACTTAAGTATGAAACAAAGTTAAGTACACGCAATGTTTCTACGCATATGTCCAGCTGAATTTATCTGACACATTGCCGGTAAATAATTGCAGCTTCTGTAGCTCATATTTGAGCCATGGCGTGACAAGTGTACCGCAAATTTTTCTTCATACTTACTGTGCAATATGCGTAAACATATTGCAGACATTTCATGTAGCAAATGGTCTGCAAATTGTTTGTAAATCGATTTTCCTCGCTATACGATGATCACGAATTTCAATCTAAGATTCACCCGAAATCCTTTGTTCCGCCTCGAGGGATGCTTAAAGTAATAGTTTACGCTCCGAACTTAATAAATTCTAACGCCATCGTGATAGTCCGTATCTTAACTGCCTAGATAATATTTGGCTGAATAACTTAGGCTCACTTTTTACGCGATAGGCTGATTTTCCGGCGAGATTGCCCCGTTCGATACGTCATTCCCCATGAAAACGCGACCGGAGTGCGTCGAGGTCGAATCGAAAAGCGGCCGACAAAAGAAAACGCCGGCAGTAAGTAACCTCGACGACTCTGGCTATTCCTCGGAGGGTTTATGAACGGCTAGTTTTTCACTCGGAGTGCATCTCTTTTCGCCTTTGGCTTATCGACGATCTCATCGATAATCGGTCGGCCGTGTTTACTTTGCCGGGATATTTTTTGTGCCATCCTGCATAATCGACGTTTACGATTTAACAATCGGGGAAAATGATACGCTCGACCGTTAAGTTAAAAATCGAGGACGTCGACTCGGCACTTTCTTGCGGCTCTTTTTTGCAATGCGAGGGTGCAATTATCATATTGGTGATGTAGCTTTGTCTGACAGACTCAAGATGTTCATAGTGACTGGGTTAATCGGTGATTGATTCGAGCTGGGAGTATATATTTGATGTGTCAATGGAAATAGAGATCAAAATTGTGCCTGAAGAGAACACTTGGAGCGCGCGGATGACTTCGTTTCGATTCTCCGTAATGGTTAATAGGTACTTTATATCTTACATTTACGAATGCATGCGAAATAAATCGAGGTCGAATCGAAAAGCGGCCGACAAAAGAAAGCGCCGGCAGTAAGTAACCTCGGCGACTCTGGCTATTCCTCGGAGGGTTTATGACTCCCGCAATGGCGAAAATCAGGGCGCGAGGGGACACGCTGGTCGAGAATTACGAGGCGTCGAGAATATGCTCCTCGCGGTCCTCTCGAGGCGAAGAGGGTGGCCAGAGAACACATGGCGGCGTCTCGCTCCTTTCCGGCGTCCAGGGGAGCCTCGGCGGAATTAATAAAATCCCGGGGAACCGCCACCCCGGGGTCCATGGGGCGTGAAAAATGGCTCCGAGGATCCGATATTCCGGGATTAAAAACATTGAAATTCAAAACCAAGCTCCCCGGCCAAGGCACGGGAAGTCGTTAAGGGTCAGTTTCGGGAGCCACCCCTCGATTATCGGCGGACGATATTATTTTTTTTTTTTTTCTCTTTTCTGAGCCACCCCTCCGCAGATCGCGGCCGCAATTTGACGCAGGCGTGCCGTTTGAATTCGAAATTCCGCCCGCGGACGGAGAAATCCGGGGACCGGGGACAGAGACAAAGGATCGGACCGAGGGGGAGGAAAAGTCTCGGGGACGTGGAAATTGAAAATTAAGGGGCTGGACGCCCGGAGGGGCGCGATACGTTTTTACGACTTGCGCACCCCCCGACGTATGCTCGACGACGCCGCGACGAATCGCGACGCTCCTCTTCGGCCGATTAATCTCGCCGATTTTCAACGGGACGACCGATGCCCAATATCGACGTGTTATCGCCCTAATCGCCGGCTCGTTATGAGCACGCGGGATTTGCGGGTTCAGCGAGTCCGGGAAATGAAACGCTGCGTTACGTTGGATTCATTGTCTAACATCTAGCACCTTGGAACAAGTTGCACCGTGGAGGTGAAGATTAGGCGACGTGGATTGACTACCCTGACCTGGATAACCCTGGCCACTTTATACCGTCCACGTTTCTTGTTTATGAAACTTTAGGGGTGGAAGCGCAACGTACATCTGGGAAACGGACGCGACAGCTGCCCTTTAAATCTTTCTTTCGTGCATTTCGTTTTCTGCGATTTTTCTTCAAGCACCGTTTTTGAGCCTCGCTTTGTTTAACATGAATTAAGTTCTAGTCTAGACCTATAAGTGGAAGAAATATTTTATATCTGCCACTTTTAAGGTGACATGAAAGCGGCATCGACATAGTATCGTTTATGAAACTTCTCTCCGAACTGGGTGTACCGAATCGTTCCAAATGTTACAATGTAAATATGGAGGCGTTAAGGAGTTCCTGACAGCCATGAAATTTAAATTTTATCACATTTCTTTATAGATAATTTTAACACTGTAAGAAATGAAATCACATGGGTGTCGGGATCTTCCTTACAGCCTTTAAGTTCGCGTTGTCAAGTTTGAAACGATTCGGTACACCCACTTCGGAGAAAAGTTCCATAAACGATTGACTCCTCAGATGCCACTTTCACATCCCCCTTAAGGTCTGAAGAAACTGCAATTGTATCAAAGTTACCCTTCTTTGTATTACTTCGGAACGAATTTATTAAATGATAAGATGCACTTTAATGGAGAATGCATCGAAATGACAAAACGTCAACCCAGCTAAACTCTTCGTCCGCGGTTTCTGTTTCAGAACCAAGATGGCTGCAATGCTCCCAATGCTCGCGTCGACCAACCTCGGCCTGGGAGCTGCTGCAACACGTGCAGAGCGTGCACGGGGCGCGGCTCTATACCTCGTCCTCGTCCTCGGGGAACTCGACGTCGAACACGCCGGCGCCGAGTCCGCCGACGCCGACGCCGACGCACGTCCACCACCTGAGTCCGCCGAACCACCTGAACCTGAGCGGCAAGTCGACCGGGAGTTCCTCGGCGGCGAACTCCTCGGGAGGGACGAATTCGAGCGGGAGCAGCGGAGGACGACAACTGCAGTCCTCGGCGACGCTGGTCGGAGACCCTCTGCACAGTTTCCTGAGAGTGCCGCCACACCTGGAGCGGACATTTCCACCCATGTTCAGGCCAGACTTCCTGGCACTGAACCCCCTGGCGGCTAGTTATCGGGGTCTACAGGACCTGCAAACCGCCACCAGGAGCCTCCAGAACCTGGGGGACCCACTGCGCGGCATGGACGGCCTAAACCTGGGGGACTCGCTAGTCAGGAGTTCTCTGGACTCGCTGAACAACGCGCGGAACCTGGCCAACCTGGCGGAGCTGTCCCATGGTCGTGGACTGCCCACCCAGGGCCATCCGCCACTCCCTCTAGAAGCTAATCTGGATTTTTACTCGGCGCGCCTAAGGAGCCTCGCTAACCCGTCCTTAGGCGCGGCTCCGAATCCCAACCCCACAAACCCTGGTCCTCAAGGCGTCCCTGGTGTCCCCGGGGTCCCCCCAGAACCACCCAGTCCGGTCGCGAACCCCCCAGCGAGCGCAGCCGCGGCGACCGTTGTCGCGTCTACCCTGGTCCATCCCCATCAGAAGGAGAACTCACCGCCCTGCTATACGCAGAGCCCCGTTGGCCACCACAACAACAACAACAACAATTCCACCGACAGTGAGAAAACTAGCCCACCCGTTGCATCGACCCCCATCATCGTGGACTCCGAGACGGTCTTTACCTGCGAGGTCTGCGACAAGAAGTTCCGCTTCCAGTCGAACCTGATGAACCACAGACGGAGCCACCAGGACAAGGACCGAGTGGCCTACCAGGAGACGGCACAGGACGCTTCCTCCCAGAGGTGCGAGGTGTGCGAGTTGGAGCTATCGAGTTTCGCGGAGCTGCGAAAGCACATGAGGAAGGAGCACCAGGATAACGTCAACGTGGCGGCCAGCCCTCAAGGTAGCGTGGAGACCGTCCCAGACGACGGCAGCAGCTGCGACGAGAACATGGACCTGGACGAGGCAGATGAAGGGGACCCGAAGGGCGGCGATGACGCCGAAGAAAACACCCCCGAGGATCTCAGCACCACCCAAGGCCAGAACAGCGAAGACGGAGGTGGCGGAGGTGGCGGTGGCGGTGGAGGCAGGTCCGAACAGAAACCCAGCCTCGTCGGGGACCTCATGGAGAAGTTCGGCCTCAGCAACATCGCGCAGTACTCCGAGGCCTACAGGCAGGCTCTTCAGGAAAACCATCGCGGGGGCTTCATCAAGACGGAGTCCCCGGCAAACAGTCTGACCAACTCTCTAAACAACAACAAGGAGAAGGACAGTGCCCTCTCGCCCACGAACTTCAACTCCGGTGCTACCCCGAACATCTTCTCCGGCCAGGGGTTCCCCAGGTCGGCAGGGCCAGACTTTGGAGGCCTCTGGTTGCCGAACCCACACTACCTGGAGAACAACGAGTTCCGAAAGGCCTCCAAAGCCACCACCTCCAGTCTCTCCCTGCAAGGTCTACCCAGCCCGCTCCTGAAGAAGGAACGCAGCGGGCGAAACGACACTTGCGAGTTCTGCGGCAAGGTTTTCAAGAACTGCTCCAACCTGACGGTCCACCGAAGGTCCCACACTGGTGAAAAGCCCTACAAATGCGACCTGTGCACCTATGCTTGTGCCCAGAGCTCGAAGTTGACGAGGCACATGAAGACGCACGGTCGCGTGGGTAAGGACACCTATAAGTGTCGGTTCTGCGAGATGCCCTTCTCTGTGCCCAGCACCCTAGAAAAGCACATGCGGAAGTGCGTGGTGGTGGTGCAGCAGGGCCCGAAGCTGGGCATCCCGTACCCGGGAAGTCAGGACGAGGACTCGTCGGTCAGTACCAAGGATACTTGATCGTGGAACGGCAGCCTGCCGCCTATACCACCGTTATGGCCGCACAGGCCGCCCTATCCGGTGTACTAGACACGTACAGCCCGGTGTACCGAGAGGACCGAGGTCCCTGAAGAAGACCCGGAAGAAGGTTCCTGAACGGCGGAAGCACGGACTCTTCAAGGAAGGCCGGGGCGGAGCCGGAACGGAAGGAGCACCAGGAAGGACCCGACCTCGTCTCCGATGGTGGAGGCGAGAGTCCTGCGGGACCAGCGACCCTGAAATGGTCAACTCAGCTGAACACTCACGGACACAGGGTCCCGATGGAGGAGCACGAAGACTTTCGTCCAAGAGACGATAACCCGGAGCCCCCCGTGGCTCCGCCTTCTCCACCCCCTGTGGGTGGGGAACCTAACCTCAAAAGATCTGCGGTCACCCCGACCGTGTATTCACACACAAAGAGACGCACTCTCGCGGCCGGGCCGAGAATCGAGTCCGGCGCGACGCCACTGTAAATCTCCTTGTACACATACCGATATACATACTATACATAGCTCCGACGGCATAGCGACTTTATTATCACATTTGAAGATTATTTATTTAATAACGACGTAACGTACCGTAATATATACATATAAATACGTGAATATACGGAGATATAAATATATAAATATTATAAATATGAACATATATATATATACATATAAATAATTATGTGTATAGGCAGCGGTCGGGCGCATCGCGGCTCGGTCGCAACTTTTCTTGTACAGTCTTTTATTTCCGTCTCACGGACCCCGCGGAAATCGATGCGATTTTTGCTGGGATCCTTCACGCTTTCCTTCCGTTCTTTTTCCAGGGAAAGCCGAGGGGAAGACGAGGAAGAGGGTGGATAGGGAGTGCGCAACCGGCGTTACACTTTTGTATATAATTAGGCTTACGTAACGTGTGTACACTCGACTGTATTGCACATCGATATTTAGACGTCGCGAGGCTCGACAAGACACATCCTATGGTCCCGGATTCTCGATGCCCACTAGCTCCTTCCCCGTTGTATAATAATAGCCTGTCGTCATTGTCATTATCGCTGTCACCCTTTCATTTTCATCGATCATCGACTCGCCGTGACTCTTCGTCGTTTCCAACTTTCTTACCGACCGTCGCGTTCTCGCCTTCCGACGATTATTCCAATTCCTGGTGTCCTTATCAACGTCATCGTCATTATCGCGAGGATCGCGGCCGTGTACAAAGCTGTACAGAGTTCACGACTTTATCGAGGCGATTGTAAGTTATTATTGGAGATGTTTTTCGTTCTGAGATTTAGGAGAATGCCAAAGTTGTCTAGGTTTATCGCGTTTATTGTCACATTCATTATTGCCACTATTATTGCTATTTGATTATTATTAATATTATAACGATTGTCATGATTATTGTAATTATTATTACGCATTATTGCTATTATTATTGATAGTTTCGTGCAGGGTAAGGACTGTTGGTGGGTTACTGCTTTCCAATTACACCGAATTCCTGGGATTCACGTCGTTTATTAATGATCTTTTGCAGTCCGTTTATTATTCGGCGAGTCGAGAAACGTTTGTACTTCCTTGTTTTACAGAGATTATTAAGAAAATAAAGAAAGTGAATTTTATCTCGATATGGTAGGAACGATCATTTTGGTCCTTACACGAATTATTTAAATATATATTTATATATCGATGATGTTCCGTGTTTTATTTAAAATCGATGCGTTTTTGGATGGAAAACTTGAAGAATTTGTTGGAAAAAATACGGATGTTGAAAAGGAAGGTATCCCACGTCCGAGCCCTGCATGTTGATCGGTCATTGTCACCGCTGTAATTCGTTCTTCGTTGATCGTATTTATTACTGCCGAGGGCCCGTCAATTACGACACTGATCGATCCGTTCGATCCGATCGAATCGCGATTCGAGGATTGGAAATCGGAATTTTGCGGATTTCCGGGATTACACGCGTGATTTGTGGGGTGCGGATCTCCTAGGGACGTCCCAAAAGACCATCCTCACCTGCAGGTGCCATTTGACGGCGTCTCGGGGGAACACGCCCGACTCGAAATTTTATTTTGAACCTGTTTAACCTAAATGAGACCTCTTTTGGCCCTATTTCACTGATTACTTACTTTCAAATTTACGTGTCCTACTTAATGCGAATTAAATTCTACTTTAGGTCTACGAGCAGATAAAATTAAAATTTGTATTTGTCGCGAAACTCTGCCAAATTTATTTATACCTCCTACTTTTAAGGGGATGTAAAAGTGGTACCCGAAAGGTTAATCGTTCATGAAACTTTTCTACGAACTGGGTTTACCGAATCGTTTTAAACTTTACAACGTGAACATGGAGGCTAAGGAAGATCATGAAATTTCATTTTTAATAACGAATTTTGAAGATATCAATAAAGAAATTTTATAAAATGTGTTTTTTTGGTTGTGCGACCTTCCTTATAGCCTCCATATTCACAATATTAAATTTGAAGCGATTCCGTATACCCAGTTCGGAGAAAAGTTTCATAAACGAGACCTCTTTGACGCCACTTTCATATCACCTTAAAGCCTGAAATGGGGTCTCTATGAGTATAGAAGTTATTTTATGTTATCTTAAGACTCATTTAAAAAATAAAAGACGGACAATTAGAGGTTCTAGGTAGGATAAAAATGTCGAGTCGGTCACCCAGGGAGTTCGCCCTCGCCCAAGACTGAGGTTTTTCTTCTTTGAGTTGGTTATTTTCTCGGGGGCTCGCCATTAATTTCCTTTCGTTCCTCCCTTCTCGCTCTTGTTGTAATCGTTTTCGAAGAGAACTGTTCCTAAAAAATGATCTAGGCAATAAGGTTGATGATGCGTCGCGCGGCGAATCGAGCGGGACATGAGAGAGAGTGAGAGTGCGGATGCATGAATGCGAATAAGGAAGAGAGACCGAGTTATAAATAAATAAATATATATACATACATAAAATCTATACATAAGGAAGCAAGTCATATCAGATAGTTTTCAGTGTTAGACGTGTGTACGGCTCTAGATACAAAATCTCGTTATCTAGTTACAAAGTGAGGGGCGGCGACGGGGCGAAAGTGATAAGCAAAATTGTATTTGATCTTACATTCTTGATCTTGGTCTCGTTCAAACAAGACCAGGAGTTGGTCTTGGTCCTCGTTGCACGTTTCGCGAGGCCAAGACCAAGACTGGGAGACCAAGACCGATTTTGCTCGTCACTAGGCGAGAACACTTGTTAGATATTTCGGAAATACGTACACGCCAGGCCCTGTTCATACATATACGTTCGTACGTGTGTACATAATGGCACTGCCCGTAGCTAAAGGTGAGGAAGAGGGAAATTGCGAGAGGAATACCTGTCAGACAAAAGCGACAACGAACGACCCCGAAAATGGCGATGGCGAGAATGGAGGACTGCTCCTTGACTATTTATTAGCTATCACCGATCATCCAACGAAACTTCCGAGATACGACGGAACTCGAGCCCAATTGGTCTACATATCCCTCAGATTTGGAAGTGCCGGCCCCTTTTTTTCCAGTAAAACGTGAAAATGAAATCGAAAAGGAGCACGGTTGCCCCTCGATTCGCTGCCAGGAATCGATCGCGGAGTGCGGATTTGCGGGAGCGTGCAGCTGCGGCGGCTGTGCAGTTGAGGGCGAAATAAACCGGCGAAACGATACCACGCTCGAGGAACGTTTCCTTGGTCGGCTTTCCCTTCTTCCTTTTCCGAGACACATCGCGCAGGACCAATGTCTCCTTCGGATGACAAACGTAGACTCGCGCGTGCGCGCGCCATGCGGCCATCCCTGAAAAGTGCGTCCTTTCACCCCGACCGTATAAGATATATCGAGATAACCTGGGTTATTAATTTCCTACAAAATAACTTAAGACGCTAGTAACCGTATGGTCATTTTCAATTATATCACGTGATAGGAAATCGCATGAATTCTTGCGAAACGAATGACATTTTCCAGGAGAAACTAGCATTGAAAGAAATTACCCTGAGAAAAAATTTACCCAAGAAATGTTTGTTTGAATAGTACTAAAGAAATAGGTTGTTAAGGGGATGCGAAAGTGACATCCGAGGGGTCAATCGTTAATCAAACTTTTCTCCGCTCTGAGTGTACTAAATCGTTTCAAACTTCACAAAGTGAACATGGAGGCTATAAAGAAGGTCCTGATACTCATGAAATTACATTTTTTTATGAAAAATGTTAAGAATACCTATTAACAAATTATTAAAAAATTTTAATTTCATAGATGTCAGGACCTTCCTTAAAGCCTCCATACGTCACATTGTAAAGTTTGAAACGATTCGGTTCACCCAATTCGGAGAAAAATTTCATAAACGAGACCTCTTTGACGCCAGTTTCACATCGCCCTAATTAAAAAAATAATTATTTCACTCGAAGAGTCGTTGCATCCTATTTATTCGAATTTATTTGAGGGAAATAATTATTCCTGGAATTAATAAAAGATGTCTTGGGTACCATTCAAAGAAGTAGTTCCTTGGTTCAATGACATTTTTTTTCAAGGTAGAAATTCTCGAAATGTGTCAATGGGTTAATTTTTTACGAATCGTGCACTAGATGACCAGATATCCATTTTTTAAAATCAATCTGAAAAGGTCAGGAACGATTTTGGGCACTGGTCACAAGATGGACACAATGTCATTACAAACACGGGACCTTTCGACACATTTTGCAGATTCACTCATTATTTTGTCAGTCATACCTTGGCGAACAAAATTGTTTTGAAGAATACTGGAAGGGAATTTCATGCGATTTCCTGCAGTCTGATGTCATAATTCATGGTTTCTAAAACCTTGAAAAGTTCTGCTTAAAGATTCGACTTCACGTTCTCTAAAAAGATCAGGTGAATTTGTCTCGGCATTTCTGTCAAAGCGAAATGTAGGGGAAGATGTAAAACTTGTTGCGTGATTAATATTTTCCGTTCGGTTGTTGTCACGGACAACTGGGACGTTGTTGAAATCGGTGGAACTAGTTCGTGTTTGAGTTAAATGTTTTGAAAAAAAAGACCTGCAACTGGTTGGTATGAAGTTGAAGAGAGGTTAAATTTAATTTCGTGGAGAAATTCCGGATAGAAATTCTTGGTGTTATTGTCCTTACACTTGTCTAATTGTAGGAACGCGAATAAATTGAGTTCGTTGATTATTATTTCAATTTGTTCGAGGCTGGATCATTTGGAGTGGTTTAAATTAAGGGTTCTTCAAAAATGTGACGTCCTCGGTACTTCGAATTTGCTTATTGGGTCGATTTTGCAATTCCTCATTTAATTTCCAATATTTATCCCGTCAGATGCGAGTAGACACGTTTAATAGTATTTCTCTGAACATTCAGGTTACACAAAGCATAGAACTCATATTTTACTTCTAGATCGAGTGGCTTCATTTAATTCATCTCGAGAAATAAAAATATTTAATATGTTATCACCGGGTATTATGACAACAATACCAAGGCATACGGAAACAATGCGCTTTATTTCAAATTAATATGCACAATATCTCAAATGTTAAGATGAGCACGGATCGTTATAAAAATGAGTTTCAAAAAGAAAAGACCCGAATCTTCAAAAGAAAATTTAACAACCTATTGACGTCTCACAAAAAGGGGAGGAATTTC